GTGACGGCCGGCGTGTGACTGACGGTACGGTGGGGTGCCTGGCTCGTCTGCCCGTCGCACCTTGGCAGCTGGCTATGTGTCGTGACGGCCAGCGTGTGACCTAGAGAGGATAAGCTATCCTCTCTAGGTGTGACGACGGGAAGGTGCCCGGCTGGCTCGTCTGCAGCTGCAACTGCCCGTCGCACCTTGGCACCTGGCTGTGTCGTGACGGCCAGCGTGTGACGACGGGAAGGTAGGTGCCTGGCTGGCTCATCTGGCCATCGGCTCGTCTGCCCATGGCACCTTGGCACCTGGCTGTATATACTCCTGGAGTCGCTGGCAACGCCGCGCAAGGTCGCCACGCTCCAAGGAGCGGCTGGGAGGGGCGGCGGTGGTGGAGGAGTCGCTCAGCCGCTCCGGGCCGGCCGGCCCATGCGAAGGACGTTAGGTAGGACAGGGCTGCTGAGGCGGCTCGAATCGCCCCGGCCCGGCGGCCCGAGAGGACTATTAATTTTCTTCTTTTTTTTTACGCCCCTTACAGCCTGGATAAGCCCTAAGCTCTTGTCCCTTTAACTTCGCGCGGTGGGCGTGAAGCGCTCTGCGGTCAATGACAAACGCGGCCGCGCTGTTCCCATTGCATCACTGCACCTTGTCTAATTCTTCCGGTCGACTGTTGTTGCAGGAGAGAGCATAGAAGAATTGAACGGCTATGGCACGTTCCGTCCGCGCAACCTCATTTCGTCCATGTTTGGCGGCACGCCGGGCAAGTCATCCAAGACGTACATCCCCATCTCCAACCCCCGAGAATTCAGACAGGTGAGCGCAGCCCCCATGGCCGCAAGGCCAGGCCTCGGATGATAGGTTCAGCCGCCACCTGACGGGACGGTCCTCCTGACGGGTCTCTTCTGCCACAGGTGTCGGCCATCATCGACGTGGACCTGGTGCCCGAGACGTGTCGCCGCGTCAAGCTCATCAAGTACGGGTCGGACCGGCCGCTGGGCTTCTACATCCGGGACGGGACGAGTGTGCGCGTCACCTCCGCGGGCCTCGAGAAGGTGCCCAGCATCTTCATCTCGCGGCTCGTGCCCGGCGGGCTGGCGGAGAGCACGGGGCTGCTCGCCGTCAACGACGAGGTGTTGGAGGTGAACGGCATCGAGGTGACGGGCAAGACGCTGGACCAGGTGAGATGGAAGGCTGTCGTGGTCCTCAAGGTGTCACGGTGGTCATGTAGGGTGTACCCCAGTGTACCCCATAGTACCCTGATCGCATTCTATTCGGTCTCTACACACTCAATGGAAATAAACCATTTACTCATCCCTGTTTGTTGTTTTTTTTTTTTTTTGGATTTCAGGTGACAGACATGATGCTAGCAAATAGTTCAAATCTTATCATTACGGTGAAGCCAGCCAATCAGCGCTCTCTGGCTGCGCCGCGCAGAGGGTCCTTCTCGCGTAACTCTCAGCTGTCGTCCGGGTCCCACCAGTCGACCCACTCGGCGCTGTCGGCGCACTCGGCGGCCACCACTGGGTCGGACGAAGACCGCTTTGACCAGGACGAAATCGTGGACTTTACAGGAGTGACACTGGACGAGTCTGGCCCCGTGCCCACACCCGCCGTCAACAACACGAGTGTAACGACCATCAACACGACCGTCACCACCATCGGAAGCAACAAAGAGGAGGCTGTTCTTCATTTGTGATTGATTTTTGTTTGGCGTTTGGTCGATCTACAATGGACTCAGCCAGTGAAGTGCTCGATTTGTGCTCTCTGTCCTTTATTCTCCTCACCTTAGCTCTCCAGTTCTGAAATTTTGTGTGGAAAAGCTGTGAGTTGGGTGTTTATTTCAATGCTCTTGCTGGGATAGAATATATTTTCCAGAGATAGAACGCAGATGATCAAATTGCTTTCATTGAAGCTGAGTAAATGGCATCAGACCACTTGAAAGTTGAGTTGTAATTGTTGTTAGATGTAATAAGTTCAACTTGGATAATTTTCTGCAAAGTACATTTTAATAAATGCTCATTTTCAGTGATATTGTTATAATTTTAAGTTATTGTCTTTCTATAGTTTTCCTTCTGTTTCTCCCTTCTGCATTCTTTTCTGTTAAACTTTGAATTCCGATCAGTATTCTAAAAGTATTTCACCATTTATTTATGACAGTCATTAGTAAGCTAATTTTATTTCTATTAGCTCAATGTAGGGCTTGACTTTTTACTGGCTTGATACTTTAACACATTCCTTGCAACAAAATAAGTTTGTCATTCCAATTAGTTTTGAGCCTGTGCTAGTTAAGATAAGCATAAATTATTTTTCATGTCTTGCATGTGTCTTGAACAGATGTATGTAGGTACATTTTCTCAAACCGAATTGGCTAGGATTTTGTTAGTGCTTCCTTAGCACTTCCCAGAAATGAATTAAACTGTGTGTAACTGCCCTGATTTCAGCATTTTAAAATAATGAGTGATTATCATATGAAATAGCTCTTTCTAAAGCATTATACATATGCCTATCAATACTTATAAATCAAGGAACTTGTCTACTTATATTTTTGTGTGTACATATTGTTAAATGGATAATGAATTTTTATGCCTGTATTCCTCATTGCCTTGTGATTAATTTGTGTAGGTCTTCAAAGCAGGTTTTGTGTAATTTAGCAGTACGTAAATTTATTAAGTACTACATATTATGGTGCTCAGAATGAAGGATTGTTGTTACACTTTACTGTCACTCTACTTAAACAAGCACCTTTTGGTTCTGCTTTGTATGTACCAAAGAGGGAAAACTTATATTTGAGTCAAGAGCAGCTAAAGCATTGTACTTATTAAGTTCTTAACCATTAGAACATAAATATATACCTACATGATTTTGCACCTTTGGTAGGATCAGAAATGTGATTAAATCTTCAGGAAACGGGTGCTTCTCAAACATTTTACCATGGTGCACTTGTTGAAAGATATTTTGCAATCAACTGGTATTTTCCATTGTTGTTTGTCTTCCGAGGTCTTTGGCTTACTATTGGTTTCACATTTTTGACATCAGCATTATTTAACTATTGTATATTGTTTTATATTTTTGAAATCAAGTTGCATTCCTGAGTGAACCTGTAGGAATGGATTTTTGTACAGTGACGTAGCCCCATGTGATGAAGAATTCTTCATCTCATCTGTAATTCTGTGAGATTAAGTATTTTTTATTACACTTTTGTTGTACATAGTACACTTTTATCAGTTCTGCATGCCCTTTCTCAAGTTTTTCTTTCACTTCATCCCTCTTGACACAATTTTGCCGTCAATTTGGTTATAATGAAATTGTGCATTCCATCATTTTCCCCTCATGACTGCCTTTCCAGATTTGAGGTGAATTATTTGCCGTCTGAATAATCATGAGCATCTAGATGTTAGTTGGTGATTAAATATACTTATAGATTCTTTGCATGTATGTGGGAATCACATATAACAATGCGATCTGGAAGGATAAATTGTGGGCTAGTATTAGTAAATTTCAACCTTTGAGTCAAAATTGTCCCTCATATATGAACCATAAGGTCTGTCGTTTATAACTTATTTTATAATATCAATATGAGTTTAATTCCTAGTGCCTAGTGGTCTTGAACACAATTTCTAACGATTGGATGAGTTTTGCCAATCAATATCATAATTGTGTGCCTGAAACCATAAGAATACTTCTCTCTTTCTCTGTGACAAATTTTTCTCATGGAGTTTTACGCAAATGCCCATATCATTATGTTAGTGTTTTAATTTCTTTGGTGACTTTTCTCTTTGTGTTAAAAAGGAATGGTCAATAATCAAATATTTGGAAATGTTAAAAAAAAAAAAATATCAGCAAAAAATTTACAAAGAGGTTGCAATCAGCAGATCAAAGTGTTATTTCAAGTTTTCGCTTGTAGTGAGGAACTTTTTGACACCCCTTGACGTCCAAATTTGCTCATGCTGGATAAATTTAGAATGGTATTTTTGTGTTTCCGATAGGGTTCCAAGTTTAATGTTACTGTTCACAGTATATTGATAGATTTCTTACAGGCCCTGGATGGTATAAAATATTTCTATGTTAAATAGTGAAAGAGAGTTTATAGTTCATAATGATCTATATTTTTAAATGATTGTTTGAATTGTTTATTGTTGTTTTCTCAACAAGTACAGCACTATTGAAGTATGTATATGTATTGGTGCACGAAGTGACTGAGAATGTGTTTCAGATGCCATTTCAAAGTGGTTATCTTGTTACTGAATCATTTTATCTTTAAGGTATTCTGGAAACGGTTTCATTCCACTAAACCTCTTGTTAATTATCTTGCCAAATCTTACTTTTTTTCTTTCTTTTTTTTAAATATAGCTGAATATATTGACATGCTCAGACTCAAGTGTCCTGTTATGATAAATGCAACAAAATTTCAAGTCACTGTTTTGATGTTTCATGAACTTTGAATGTGTTGCTTTTGTTGTATTGTTCTCATTTATGATCTTTAAACTTTATCAAAACACTATATTATAAATTCTGCCAATGAAATGTTTTGCTGTGTGTACTGTATGTATAGGGCCTTATTGCCTTAATGCTAGAACTGACATATTTTTTTATGTTTGGAGTTATGAGAACCTATGAATTGGTCCGTCCTATTGCGTATTACTCTTAGATAATAAAACAAGACTCCAATCATTTTATTTTGTTGTGATTATCCAACACACGATATGATAAATTATACTTTCTTACTTTCTTCAGAAGTAAAGTACAGTAGTACCGTAGGTAGGACAGGGTGACAGGTGACTCCTTCAAAACTCATTCTGCACCAAATCAAGACTACTGTTGTTAAAATGCACATTTTTGGGGTACAACAACTTGTTTAATAACTCTGGCATGGCTACTATGTCATCAATCTAAATCTGAAATCACTTCAAGAAAGCCTAAACATTTGTTAACTGCTGCTTTTCCTCCAGTTGTCCATAGTCAATCATGTGTTCCTCCTTTTATTTTCTAACTAGTGATGTTATCACATTGTCAGGTCTTGGGAGGAGTCATACAATTTCCATCAGGGTATCGCTCCCTGAAAGCCTTAATAAGTTCAGGATCCACTAACCGTACACCATCTACTTGATTTCCTAACGTGATCCTGGAAGAGAACCAAAAGGTTGAGTTGCAAGTATCTTTAAAGTATCCCGAGAAAATTCTTAGTTGTGTTTAGGAAGGGATTACCAGTTTGGTTGGACGTTGTGAGGTCGTCCAAATAATTCAATTTTCCTTGTGCCAGGGGAAAGGCGCTCGATGATTCCATAAATTTCGTCTGGCTTGTGGCTAGTAGCTCTTACTTCAGCTACAATAACATCACAGTCCAGGCCACGATTCAGGTTATCAGGATTTCCTTTCATTCCCACCTATTTTCCAATGAACAAAAGAAATAATTCAGCACAGAAATCACTACAATGGTACGAGCCATAGGAATAAAAGGAAACTTGCTTACCAGACAATGTTCCTTCCCATGATTCAGCCAATGTCCAGTCCTCCCTGTTCTGATAATTCTCTGAAGCTGATTGGTTTTCACCCAAATTATCTCATCAACACGTTCATAGCCCCATAGTTTTAAACATTCACGACCAAGTTCCATTGCACGTCCAGTGACCCATAAAAAAATCAGACCTTCATCTTGCAATGTTGGAATACCCAACTGTCTCATCTCATCATCAGACATGGTACCATATGGTAGTTCCATATGAATATCCCATGGTGGATCAGCCATGATTACTGCAAACTTTCCTAAAACCCTCATGTCTAAGTATCTTAAATCACACTGCACCCACTGGGGTGGATATAAAATTGTTGAATCTTTTGACATAGCTGGACTCTCTAATTTTCCTCCAGGGCCAGAAATTTCTCTGGGGAATGGTACAGTGGGCCCATCAACTTCATAATGAACATACTTGCAAGTATCCATATGAAAACAAGTGTTCAAGAATGAGCAATCGCCTAAAGATTCATCAGTGTGCTGCTGTATAATTTTCTTGAAGTGAAGTTTTTTACATTGTAGAGCACTAGCACCATTACTAGATCGCTTTACCTTGGCACATTCAGCTTTTGTACCATGAGGACAGAACTCCATCACTTGTGCACCTTAGAAATGAGGAATTATTTAATTGTGAGATTAGCATACTTAATATCAGGAGTCCAGATATTTGCATTGATTATTTATTTACCTCCTTGTGAACGGAAGCGCTCTGTGAGGGATCTTTCTTTCGCAGTAGGTTTGCTAAGAAGATCTAAGATTTCTTCTCCAACTTTTTTACTTTCTTTTTCTTTGATTGATGGCATTGAGAGAAGTGACTAAAAAAGAAAAATTTGTAATATACAATGTATAATATTGTAACAAATTATTGTTCTTATCCATCCATAGGATAGAAAGAAACTGATTACCATTATATCTTCTGATTTTGGGTCTTTTCTATCCTTGGATTTCTTGCCATCATCCTTGTCTAAACTTTGTGTTTTTGCAGCTTTGCTCCCAGGCTCATCTTCAATATCCACACCTATCCACCAGCACATATTGTCAATGTGAAAATATTCTAAATAAACGGTCATTGAATACAACAAAATAAGTTTAACTAACAATTTGTCACTTACCCTTCCTTTTATTATCCCCTCTAGCAGTAGGGAGAAGTGCACGGCTCTTGGCTGATGTTTCAATTTCATCACATTCTGTAAGCTCCAATACCATGGCGGACAATTTGCTATGTTCTGCACTAACAACCTCCAAGAGGCCATCCTTACCCCAATCCTTGATACTAACAAAGAAACATTGTTGAGGTAACATTTAAGAACAAATCTTATTTTGGTACTACCATTTAGACATTAAAACTAATTCACACCTGATAAGTTGTTGAGTGGCAAATTTCTGGAGAAGGTTTGTGACTGTCTGAAGTGGTCGACCAACCATAGAAGCTAGCTGCTCACTGTTGGAAGGTAATGTGAGCGACACCTCACTGAGACATCGGAGTAGTTCTTTCTCAGCAGCAGGATCAGTCTTAACTGGCTCAACTCCAGTTTCTATCTTGCAAGTCAAATCATCTGCAACAATACATTCTTTAATCAATTTCTTGCAGCATAATTTGATTGGTTTTAATATCTTATCATAGAGAAATCAGAACATACCAGTCGCCTTTGTAGAAACAGATGTGGCCCGTGTGCTTTCAGTAGTTAACGACTTAGTTAAAGACGTTGGAGAAACTTCAGGTGGTCTAAGAGGTCCTCCCGTTAAACTCAGAATATCTTCTCTTTCTTTTTTTCGCTTCTGTAGCTTCTCACGAAGACTAATTCGTTTGCTTTTTAAAGCTTGTATTTCCTCCCAAGCATCCGACATTTTACCTTATGGACAAATGAGTTAATTGGAACTGGTTTTATTTAATTTGTCTTGAGGTCAAAATAGCTATTTTTATCATACACAATAGGGCATGACAACTACTGAAATAGGTGTAGGGAATTCCAACAGTTCAATTTATAAACTTTGAAGACAGCAAGCAAAGAAAAGTACTTGTTTTTATTTCATTATATTATTTAATGATAATGATAAAGTTGAGGCTTTGGTTTACAAATAAAATATAGAAAAGTAAAATTGCAATGGAATTGTTGAAAAATATTTATACAACTAATAGTAGGTGTTTAAGAAGGTAGAAACAACTATTCTATTCCTATTTCCCAGATCGAGAATCTATCAAATTAAATACTTAGAAATAATGATGTAAAGCTAAGGCTAAGAAGGCCAACTTACTTATTTTTGACTAAACGCCAAACAAAACAACGTAAACAAATAACCAAAACGATTCGCCAGTGTTTTTCTTTTCAGGCAGGCACCACAAGCAGATTTGTTCAAGAAAACAATTTGAATTTTTAAAATGTTTTACATTAAAAAATTTATCATTCACGTGACAACTTTTATCCACATTTTCAAAAAGCAGAGAAAACCTGGAAAAATACATTTTATTGGTTCTTAATCTGATGTGGTTATGAGCTTTTTCTTACCACGTACGATGGCTATATTGGACTTGAAATACAGGAATATGAGAACTTTATACGCGGAAGAAGTCGGCAGCAAAAGCAGCAGAAGACAGCAGCAAACCTCAGCCCAGCCCAACATGCGATTTGGCCGACGAAGAATTCGACTTACCGGACCAGATCTTTTATTGGGACTTTTTCTTGGAAGTATCGGAGGATATTATATTTGGTCACCAGAGTTTGCTAGATTATCTAAGAAAATCGCATCCAAAGAGGAACTAGAGGCCGAACGAAGCAAAACATTGGCTGAATTTGGAGATCAGAGTGGTCCTGTGAAGACGTGAGGTAGGAATAGGAGTCCCAAGCTGGTCTGTAACAATTCATTCGAAAATTGAGGGAAGGGCAGGCATAATTTAGCACTTTGTCTAGCATTTCAACCACAGAGCGTGATTTGTCTATTTCCAATCATTGTCTTCTTGGTTGCCCTGGTGTGTTTGGTTATGTTCTCTATTAATTGGCAAGAACTGTAGATGTTCATCGTTGCCTATATTGGTTGTATAGAACTATTCCTTAATTTGCAGCATCTGGAGTCTGATGAAGGTCTCTCTTGGGCCCAATTCGCGCCTATTTTTGGCCACTGCCATTGGTTCATTTTGTGGATGGTTTATTGTTGAGCCAATCATTTGGAGCTACAAAAAAACTTTTGATAAGAAGAAAGATCTTCCTCCCCCAAAGGTACCCACTTCATTACCATTTTGTGTTCTTCACCTTCCAAAATTTCAGTTGCTGGGACAAATTGCATTCACTCACCCGACCTGTCACTAATTTAGTTGACAGTAACAAGTCGTCAAAATATTTTATGTTAATTTTGTTGTCTTCAAGTATTAAAGTGATTGTGTGAGTGACAAAACCATTCATGCCAATAACAGATAGTGGGATATGCATGTCTCTTTGTGCGCTTATTAATGTGTTTTAATGGAAAATTCTTTCTTTTGAGGCCAAAAAGTGATGGAATTATGATTCCACTCCATCTACCTACATAACAATATGCAATTCGAAGTATATGAGTTAGTCTCCAAAGACAAGGTTGGGTGGGTGGATGGGTGCAGTTTGACACACTCAATGCCATGAACAATAAGTTTTTGATATAATTTTGTTGTCTAAATGTCCTTGAGTGTGTCCGAATTCTCCAATGTGTCGACACTTCTCGACACAAGTTGTTTTGAGGAGTGGAGCGGAGTAGCGTGAGCGGCCAATCCGACCAATCACGGCTCACTCGACACTACTCCGCTCCACTCCTCGACACAACTTGTGTCGACACATTGGAGAATTCGGACACACTCCTTGTTGTGAATTCAGAGTTCCACCTGTGTTAATATTCCCTGGATTTGCCACGTCAAAGACACAAACAGCTGATCCCATAACATCAGAACAATTTTCATTTAAAGGAGGTGACAACTGCTATGACATTCTGTTTATCAATTTTATTTTTTTTCCAGTTTCAATGAAGTCAACAGCCAGCATGTCCAAAGGGGAGGCTCCAGTCAAGCCAAACTGGCGAATGTTTGTAGCGGAGTGGAAGCAGCCTACCACTAATGGAACTTATCTCCTAAAATATGGTACCATAGCAGTGGGGATTGGAGTTTTTGTTTCAGTAATTGTTCGTCCTACTTGGCGTGAATACAAATATCGCCGCGATGAAGCGTTTGCCAACATGTTATTTGAATTAGACAGGAAAAGTAAAGAATGAGGTATCTTAAATTTGTCGGAATGTGATTTGTTGCAGTGGGTACAGAAAGTTATAGTTCATCAGGTTTATAATAAAACAATATTGCTAAGCCAAGACAATTTATATTACAATCCTCCTTTCTCATAGAATATCTAAAAACAATTGAAGATCACATGGCTTGTGAGGTACAAGTAGTACCTGCAAACTGCATCTTGCATTTTTTTACATGGTTAAGTTAATATGCTTACAACTAAATTAGGAATCCTCTTTGTACTTTGAGTTGTAAAGAGGAATATAATCAGTTATGACTCTCCATTCTGTGAAGTAGACAACAGCCAACCCTCCTGTTGCTCCATAGGCGGCCAAGGACGGGATCCTGGAAAAAAAGAGTTGACTTGAATGGGAACATCAGCTTCATAACTGCCTTGCTTCACAATAACTGCCGCTAACTAAAGAGAAGGACATAAAAGAACAAACTGACAACATCAAATGAATTGTACTACTTCTCAGGCAGCCAGGGACAATAAAAATCCACTCAATTGTGATAGTTTATAAAAGCAGGGACACAGCAAAAATATCACAACGATACAGAAAAGATTAAAAAGCCCATCACCTAGCCTAACCTCTTACTCTTCAAGGGCACTCGACATAGTTTTACGTGGATCTTTATGTTTGATGATCTGGACATAACTCACCAGTTTGGAAGCTGTTGTGCGATCTTTTTAATAGACATTTCTGCGAAGAAATGTGGTCAAAGGTCTTTTGAACGACAGATAAAACGTATTCACTGTACTGAGGATCGCCTCGGAATTCTCTAGGCAGCAGCAGAAGAACCCAGCCAGAACTGTCGTCCACTGTGAATAGTGAATGATCGATAACCGCATTATTCGCACTCAGAAGAGAGGGGGGGGGGATAGTTTAGGGGAGGGGAGGGGAGGCGACAGGCACTTTTTGGCATTGCCTTTTACCTATCACACGCGATATCATTTCTACGAGAGTGGCTCTTCACTTACGTCCGCGTACTCACCATTCTCATTTGTGAGGTGAATTGAAGAAAATGTTTTCGTTCGTTATCACCCTCTTTCAAACCGAAGTGGTCATTCCACGTTCATACCAACATGAGAATTCCCCACTCTACTTTTCCGATGTGTGTGTTACTTGCATGAAATAAAAATGATCTTTAACATCTCCTTTTTTGATTTTATTTTTCATTGCAGTAGATGTTTTATGTGTTCAGATTTCCGTCGATTATCATTAAGGAATACAATACAGTTGCAGTTGCTCACCCTGCAATCTTCAACTGACGCCCACAGATACCTAGGTTACAGGATCGTTGTGATTGTGGATTAAAGTACAGAAGTTCGGTTTAAAAGGATTCTGGTAAGTTCTCCACCTCATTTCAGTGTATTACCTTTTCTCCTATCATAGTTCTTTGCATTGTTAATGGGCCCATTTTATTCATTTTACTCAATGATGGTCATTCCTTGCCATTCGGACGTGTCCAAACTTGTCGTACCGTACCACCTGTTGGGTTGCCACAATCTCGACGCTTTAACGTGCTTAACGCCTCTAACTTCATTTTTGTCCTAGTATTCTTTATTAGTCTTGTAGTTCTTGTTGCGTGTCGTTAGCTAAACCACCTAATGAGCTCACTTCTTTCTAGTCCTTAATACCTAGCAACAATCTTTTTTTGGTCCTTTTTTTTCAGTAAAGCAATTTTTGACATTTATTACTTGATTTCAAAACACTACAGCATTCCTCATACTTCATGGGTTTCTCAAATGAAACTATGATGTTTGCAGGGACTTTGTTAATCGCCCAGAGTTAATCTCCCATAACCTCAATTCTCCCTGGCACAATATATCTTATTCATCAAGGTCTGAAGGGAGATTCATTTTTCTGAAGGATTTTGGATTAATACCTACCGTAATTACCATATTATCTAGCAAATCAATGTTTTTTTTAAAGTCCTGTAGACTAAGAATATTAGAGAATTATAGTGTTATTGGCTAACCTTATTTTGTCTTCCATTTGTTAAGAAATGGCGGGGCGCGCGGGCCGCGGGGCGGCTTTAGCGGAAGCTTTACGGAAACGCAACCAGGAGCCAGGACAGCAGGAGTCAGTCGAACCTACAGCAGTGGTATGTGAATGAAACCTTTGATACGCAGACCAGCCTAAGCTCATACTTTTCCGGCCTCCCTCTCTCCTGTAGCTTAAGGGGGGATCCTAGTGTAGCGGTTCAAAAACAAGGGTAACTTTGGGAATTATTTAAAAAAAACTATAGCTCCTATCGAACTGACCAAAACACCATTTAAAAGATTAGTTTTCCAACTACAAAACGCAATTTCACCCGCCCCGATCACTCTAAAACTGTGGCGATACCCCCCGGTGGCAGTTGGCGTGTTCTTGATGTAGCGTTGGGCTGGCCGTAGTGTTTCCCACGGACTGGTGCGTCCAAAAAAGTCGTACGAAACGGGGTTTTGTTCAGAACGAACCTGGCTATGGTCGGTACTAGAATCTTTGCGATATAATAATTTTTAGTATTTTTTTTGAGCAAGTCAAACTCTTAGTACCGAATTTAAGGTAAAATTTTGAATGTTTTGATTTTTTTCTAAATATGAAGGGCATCTCCGATCCCAGATCTTCTAGTACCGACCATAGGCACATGTGTAAAGTACAACCAAAAAAAATCGGAGCTAGGTGAGATGAACCGTTTAGGCTGCAGTAGTGCGGCCAGCATGAAACTACATGCTGCCCTTGTAGCAGGCCGTGTCGCCGCACCTTTAAAGATATCAGGACGTTTGTTTTTGCATTTTTTGCATTAAAATGCCATCTTTTAAACCGTGTTCTCAAATTTGCGATAAGAGCTTTAGTAGTTTTAATATAAAATTCCCAAAACAAGCATTGTTTTTGAGCTGCTACACTAGGATCCCCCCTTAAGCTGGTTGCACTTTACATTTGAAGATGCCCAGCCAGTAATTCCAATGTCTAAGGTGACCATTTTGACGTCTAAGTGGACCATTTAGATGTCTGGATGGTCCCGTAGATGTCTATGAGTCATGGCATATTTGGCTGGATGTACTTCAATGAATGCCTTTTGTTTATCACCTTGGTCTTTGTCCAACCTGCAGATCACTGCACCTGCCCGTGGCCGAGCATCTTTGCTCTCTGCCCTGGCTGCGGGATCTAAGAGTTTGGAACCACAGCAGTTGCCTCAACCAGGGATTACCCATGAGACAGCTCCTACACCCTCCGTTCCTAGTGGGAGGGCAAGCTTGCTCTCGCTAGCAAGAGGCAAAACCTTGTAAGTGGAGAGCCTCCTGTAAATCTTGCTATCTTAACTCTAAACTCAATTGTGCTTTACGGATTGAATTAACTTTATTTTCAGGATTGGGAAGGTTACAACTCCAGGCGAGGAGCCTTCTCCGGCGGTTATTTCCCAAAAGCTAGCAGAATTGACCGTAGAGGAAAACAAAGAACGACCTCCTGTTATCAGGAAGGGTGATTCGGGAAAGCCGTAAGTTCCACAGAGTTCATTTTAGTAGGAATGAATAAAGTTCTGTCATCAAAATTTTCAATTTTATTTTTTCCAGAATTAAGGCTAGTGCAAATTATGTGAGATTAAGCTGTGAGCCAGGAAAAGGCTATTTTGAATATGAGGTCAAGTTCTCTCCAGATGTAGACAGCAAACAAATGCGATTTAAACTCCTTAATGCTTGTCATGAAAAGTATGGTAGAGTGAAAAATTTTGACGGAGTAATTTTATATTTACCAATCAAATTATCTGACTCGGTGAGGGCAATAAGCAAATAAATTTCACGCTACTTCCCTGTTGACACGTCTATGACATATTGTTTTCATTGTTTCAGATCACAGTCCTAACCACCCCTCATCCTGTTGATGGGAGTGAGGTCACCATTAAGATAATTTACAAGAAGACTCGTCGTCTAGGCGATTGCACTCACTTTTATAATGTGTTATTTAATAAGATTTTTAAAGTTCTCAACTTTGCAAGAATGGGGAGGCAGCACTACAATCCTGCAGCTGCGGCTACCATTCCTCAACATAAGTTAGTGACTAGATTTTAATTCTAGTATGTTGTGTGGTCACTTTACTCTACATTTGGCCTGAGTCTTAAAGTAATCATATTTTCCAGATTAGAAATTTGGCCTGGATATGTGACTGCAATTGATGAATACGAAGGGGGAATCATGCTTAACATAAATGCCTCCCATCGCGTCTTACGACAACTTACTTGTTATGATGTAATGTAAGTGATTTCATATCTATTTTAGTCTCATTTTCTTCACTTAGCATCAGTTCTTAGTATGTTGTTTTAACTTTCTCCTTGCAGACAAGAGGCACTATCAAGGAACAAAGAATCATGGAAGACTGCTGTTCAAAAAGACTTGATAGGGGCATGTGTCCTTACTCGTTATAACAATAAGTTGTACAGAGTAGATGATCTGGACTTCAACATAAACCCACTGTCTACCTTTGGGAATCGGACAGGTGGTGAGGTAAGTAGTATACTCCCCTTGAATTGAATTGAAGGGAATTCTTGTCACTGTTACAGTCTTCATGATGAGATTATTTATAAAAATTATTTCAGACAAGTTTTCAAGAATACTACATGAAGCAATATGATATCAAAATAAAGGATTGCCGACAACCTATGCTGATTAGTAAGCAAAAAGACAGGGCAGGGCCCAAGCCCAAAAGTGGTGAAGAGGTAAGATTTTTGCTCTTAAAAGAAATTAAATACATTGGGTGTCCAAACATTTAGTATCTGTATGAGCCCCTAAATGTATCAGCTGAATAATACAAGAAATCTTATCCTTTTTGTAATACTGTTTTATGTACTGTTTCAGACCAAGGATACATTAATTTGTCTAGTACCAGAGCTATGCCACATGACAGGTCTAACAGATGCCATGACTCAGGATTTCAAGATCATGAAGGATATTGCTACTTACACCAGAATAACACCTAATCAAAGACAACTAGCTCTCAAAAAATTCATTAGATCTGTCAAAGGTGATAGATTTTTCACCCCTTCCTTGAAGGTTGCTGTGTTGCAGGAATTCATTTCTTCTCTTTGTGTGTTCAGATAATCCGGAGGCTTGCAAGGTGCTGTCGGACTGGGGTCTTCAAATAGAAGACAGCACTGTTTCTTTTGAAGCTCGTGTCGTGCCTGGTGAATCAATTATCTTTGGTGGAGGGAAATCAGTTCCCGCAGGCCCCAAGAGTGACTGGAGCTCTGCAGCTTGTAATAACAGGGTTCTGAGCGCGGTATGTTTTGAAGCTGCTGTAATCCTTTTTGTGATTTGTGTTTGTTGAAGCATTTTTGATGTCATACTCAATTCTTACAGGTGGACATTACCCATTGGGCTGTGATTTGCACAACACGTGATTCAAGAGTTGTTCAAAACTTCTCAGAATGTCTGAAAAGAGTTGGACAACAAATGGGCATTGAAGTCAACAACCCTCAAGTCATTGCGCTACCCAATGATCGAACAGACACATACGTCAAAGCGCTAAGAGAAAACATTAAACAACCTCTTCAATTAGTTGTAACTGTATGCCCTACCAGCAGGGACGACAGATACTCAGCAATCAAGAAAATTTGTTGTTCAGATCAGCCCATTGCTAGCCAAGTAAAATGTGTTACTGATTTATTTTGTGTTCTTGTATTGTATTTTTATTTAAGTTCTAACTAAGTTATCTCATTGCAGGTAATAAACACTCGGACGATATCAAAAGAGGATAAATTAAGATCTGTTACTCAGAAGATAGCATTGCAAATTAATTGCAAATTAGGTGGATCCCTTTGGGCTGTGAAGATTCCCTTTGTATGTTCTTTACCATCGTCATCATTTATCTTTATATTTAATGTTCTTTGTGCAGTGATTTAATTTTTTAATTTGTGGTACAGGAGGGTCTAATGGTATGCGGCATGGATGTGTACCATGATGCATCAAGAAAAGGGAGTAGTGTTACTGGTTTTGTTGCATCCCTAAACCAACCATTAACACGATGGTTTTCCCGAACTGTTTTCCAAACTCCTGGGCAGGAAATTGTTGATGGCCTCAAAGTGTGTTTAGTTTCGGCATTGAAGAAATACTATGATGTAAGTGCTACCTTTTGAGCTGTTGTTCTGTGCATTTTTAATTTGTAACTATTTGCTTCAGCTCTGTTGGATTGAGTTGATGACAGGCCTACTATATTAAATACTTGTGGTGTTACTTCCTTAGGTGAATGGAGCATTTCCTGAGAGAATTGTTATCTACCGTGACGGTGTTGGTGATGGACAATTAAAATATGCAACTGAATGGGAGATACCACAAATAATGTCATGTTTCAGCACTGTCAATGCCTCATATTCGCCAAAATTGACTGTTGTAATTGTTCAAAAGAGAATCAACTGTCGTATATTTCAAGAACTTGTGAGTTAACTGTCTTTATTATCTGGTTTTGATCGGTGTGATGCAATATTTTCATTATTTTTATTATTTCTGTCATTGCAGGGTGGAGGCTACTCTAACCCACCGCCAGGCACAGTGGTTGACCACACTGTAACAAGAAGAGACTGGTATGATTTCTTTTTAGTGTCTCAATTTTCATCCCAGGTAATGATCTCACATTTTTGTGCACTGAATCGAATTTAGTCTCCATTTTTCTAAAGCTAACTCTTTTTCTTTGATAGGGGACAGTTACCCCAACCCATTATCTTGTAATTCATGACGGGTGCCAGATGAAAGTTGATCACATACAACGCCTTACGTTTAAGATGACCCATATGTATTATAATTGGCCAGGCACTGTCCGGGTGCCAGCCCCTTGTCAAGTAAGTCTGTTCACATTACTTAACCTTCATTGTATCTGTGAGTGAAACATCATTATAGACTATGTGTTCGTTTTTTTTTCTTCCAGTATGCCCACAAACTGGCCTACCTTGTCGGCCAAAGTGTACATAAAGATGCCTCTGAAAAACTATGTGATAGGCTCTTCTTTTTGTGAGCTTGTCTCTAATTTTATTTATATAACAAAAAAAATTGTTAATAATTAATTGGCCAAATCATGTTAAGCCAATTGAAATCACAACATTAAATTTTCTTTTCCAGTTTAATTTTGAGATTTTCCTTATTTTCCGCAAAGCATCCTGGCATATACAACCAAAGTTCAACACAATCTTTGGAAGAAGGATTCTTTGATATCACTGTTAGATAAATTTTGAAATTACATTTGAAATGTATGTACATTGATGGGTCAATTCAGTTCCAACGTGAGTTCTGTTTTGTTTTTAATATTCTCAATCCATCAGAAGATTGAGCAGTATTGCCAGAAGAATGGAAACTTAAAGAACCCTATTTGAGCACATAAAATAAATGTGATGTTTCAATAAAGTGCTGTTGCTGATTTCTGAGAGTGAAATCATTTTCATAATATTTATCATCCCATTTACCAGAGTATTACTTTCTGTAAGGGCCTCAGTAAAGCCAATATTCAATTATTATTACTACTTAACCACAGCAAAACACGTGGAGCTCCAACAAATTAAAGTTCGCATTCACTCGTAGAATTAGCATTCTCTCAGACCACAAGTCTTGGACAAGAATGATACCCTTTGCCACAGTATAGTATTGCCAAGTTGGACTTGCACTTCACTGTAACAGTTCGTGAACTCGAAATGTTTCCGATGTACTGACGTGCGAGACCTTATCCCTGAGATGCCTCAGACACGCCAGGTAGCCCAGGGCAGCAGGGGTGCCAGAACAGGCAGAGCCAAGTGCAGGCCTCTGGGCGCCACGGTGGAAGCCCCATCTGTCTGGTTGCAGCAGCCTACCAAGGACTCTATGACCTTAGGGTAGTATGTGTTCCAGAAGGCAAAACTCCTGTAGTCGAAGTTTGACACGTCTGTCATGGAGAAGTTCTTGTCGAGGACCATGACGCCAGGGTTCTGCTCCGTGAAAGGTTCCCACTTCACAGCACCTCCCTGGATCTGCTGCGTGGGGTTCCGCGTCTTGGCAAAGCTGCCCCACAGCGTCATGATGATGTCGGCGATCTTCTTGTCCTGTGAGTTCCACACAACTTGGGAGGGCAGGGATGTCCAGAAGGGCATTCCCCACACGAACGGCAACTCGTACTGGTGGGGCACGTTGATCCAGTCTGGCACCGCGTCGCCTACGGCGGTCGACTTGAGGCGGTAGTCGAACCTGTACATCCATGTGGGCGAGACCTTGGAGGAGAACGAGGCCTGAAAACACAGTCATGGGGGAAGGGCGAAGTCGGTTGTTGGAATTGCCGTATAGATAGACGTGAAAGCAGGTCCAAGTGGAGCAGCGGAGTACTCACTTGCAGGAATGCTGGTGCTCCGTACTTTTTCTCCGTGGTGAATTCCATGAACTTCTGCCGCAACAGCGTGGTGTCTTCAGTGGCAGGGATCGGCCTGGTGTCACAGCGAAGCAACAGAAAAATTCAAAATATTATTTCATCATTGGCGCACGGTGTAGGCAAGGAGGACTACCGACTCACGTGTAATAGAAAGTGACAGCGTCCATAGCCTGCTCGCCGTTGATGGGGCAGGTGTCGTTGTTCTCCGACTCGGGCTGCGGCAGGTCGGCCGAGGTGGCGTCCACCAGCAGCTCAGTGTACTTGGAGGAGCTGAGCCCGCCCTCCAGCTCCTTGCGCATCTGCATCGCGTCCTCGTGGTCCGTGTACCCCACCATCAGAGGCGTGCCCTTGGGCGTCATCTCCAGCATGGTGGCGGGTTTGTCGCTCAGGAAGGGCTGCGAAACATTGTTGTACTTGCTGTCCACCACGGGCAGGTACTTGGTGAACTGCACAAAGAGGCACCCGCATGAGTACTACAAAGCGACATCGCGACGCCTGCAAAGGAATCAATTCAGTCAAGGAGGTCGAAGAGACCTGCGTCATAGGCGAACTTCCCGTGACAGACCGCTCCCCCTCCCCCGCCCGCACCCCCAGAGTAGACCTCGACGTGGTGGTCGGCGGTCACTATGTGGTCACCTGTAGCGCTGCCTCGACGAGCACTTGGACGGGCTGCACGTTGCGCATGCAGGAGACGACGTCCGCGGTGGAGGGCCGGCAGTAGAAGCGCTCGGCCAGCTTGCGGATGGCCTCCACGGTGCTGCGCTCCTCTCGCGCCACCCCGCCCGAGCTGGAGTCCGGCGGGGTGGTGGCGCTGCCGCTCATGGCGATGGCTGCCTGGAAGCCGTCCGACATGGGCGAGATGACGTGCAGGCCGACGCTCACCTGCGACAAGAGAGTCGTCTAGAGAGGGAGGGCCGTGGCGGGGAACCCTTCGCAGTGTTATGAGTCCAAGGCCTACCCCGCCCGCGCCGTGGCCGAAGAGCGTGATGTTCTTCCGGTTGCCGCCAAAGGCCGCGATCTTGCTCTGGACCCAGTCGATGGCGGCCACCTGGTCCCAGAGCCCCCAGTTGCCGGGCGCGTTGCCGTCCAGCGTGGTGAAGAAGCCCAGGATGTTGAGGCGGTAGGCGGCCGTGACGACGATCACCTTCTGGCGCACCGCGAGCACCGACCCGTCCCACAGGCTGGTCGCGCCCGTCTGGAAGTCGCCCGAGTGCAGCCACAGCATCACGGACCAGCCCTCCGCCGGAGGGTTGCCTGCGAGGTCACCCACATTTTGGATATAGGTAGGTTTTAACCGCGGGTAGGGTCGTGCGAAGGGCCACAGTTCACAAGAGGTGACAGGGAATCGATCCCCACACTCCCGGAGATTTGAACGCAACGCGCCAACATCTCAGGCCGTCCTTCCCTCTTGGGCACATAACCAGGCGTTGACCGATGGCATCCCGGTCTACCCATTTGTTCTGATTCATATCGACCCCCCCCTCTCGCCTGCCCCTTGGTCCGCCCACCCCATTTTCCTCCCTGATTGCCAGACCTGGGAACTGACCGAGGGCGGGGACATTTATCGTCTTCGACAAAAAGAGGTAAACACGACGAGTTTGCAGAAGTGCCGACTATCTGCAGCAGCAGCAGCAGATTCCCGACGTGTTTAAGTCGAGTTTCCCGTGCGTCATGACCCCCTCCCCACTTCTCTGGGGGCGGCCCCCCGAGAATACGAGCCGCAGCAGCGCGGCTGCCGCGTCTAATGGCTCGGCGGCGCGGCGGCCCCGGGGGGCGGACTCGTGACCCCGCGCGATCGCCCCGCGCAGGGCTCCCCTTGACCCTTACGGTGGTCGGCCAGTGGCCACTCCTCGGCGGTGTGGTCGGGAGGCGAGACTGGCCGGACATGAGGGGGGTGGGGGGTGGAGGTTCTCCTCCCTCCCTCCCTCTTGCGCTCCGTCCGTCGCTCACCTGCCACTGTTGCCACCCCCTCCCCACACCCTCCGGGTGAAATGCCAAAGGCGCCGAGGAGAGGCCCCCACCGGCCCGCTGGCCCGCTCCCACGGTATCGCCGCGCAGAGCAAATTTCATCCGTGTAGGGCCGACTTGGCAGCGGTCACGCTCGTGGAGCGGGTGGGGTGGGCGGGGGCAGTGTGGAGGGAGGAGCTGGAGGGGAGGGGGGCGGCGTCCCGCGCCTTATTAGGGCCACCGGGCGAGCCCCGTCCAGGCGGAGGCCAGGCGGCCCCGGAAACAAAGGAAAAAGTCCCCGCGCCGCGCTGGCTGCGCTGGCTATGCCACTGACTGCCGCCGAGGCCGCCCCCTCGCGCGCACAGCCTGGATCCAGCCCTGGGCGGGCGTAGCGGTGCGTGCCCCTTGCGTGACCCCGCGGCAGAGGAGGGGGTGTGGTGGGGCAGGGGGCGGGGGAGTAAAGAGAGGCCACGGATCGTGCAGATACGGCGCGCTGCCGCGACTTGAAGGGGGTGCAAGCAGGCTGGTGGGCGAGGAGGGGAGCGAGGCCGGCCCGGCGGCGCGCCCCGCAGTTACGCACAGGAGGCACGAGGAGATTGAGCGGATCGCTCGGCATGGTCGTGGTGATGTTCGATCGGTGGGGTGCAGGTGCAATGCACGGGGATATCGATAAGATGAAATGAAAGTGCTGCTCAAAATCAATTCAAAACACAGCCGTGGACAATATCTCAAGGATGGGCGGCATGCAGCAAAAACATAGAATATGACTGAATTAAAAATATCTCTCATAATTTGCGTAAGGGTATCGAAAATCGGTTGATGGCTTGCTGCATAAGGAATCGTCAAGAAAGTACGTTCTCTCAGATTTCACCGACAAATTACGGGTACGGGAGCTCGGCGCCTGCGAGACATAGGATAGGCACTCCCGTAGTGCTCGCATGCACTGCAGGCAAGCTGTTGCCTACCTGTCAGGCGCTATGAGAGCTTGCACGGGCCAAACTTGACGCCTTCATGGGCGAATGACGGAGTACTTTCTGTGCAATCCCTACTCTAAAATACCGTAACGAGCACAATCGCCCAGTGACCTCTCTAATCGCCTCCATTTCGAAAACGAAACGACCGAACGGGCCCAGAGTGCTCGTTACAGTCGTGGCCGGTCGTGGCCCTGCCGGGAGCGCTGGGCGCGAGGGCAGTACCCGGCCTGGTCTGCCCGATCCCTGTTGCACCAAAAAAAACAGTTGAAGTCCCTCTCGAGAGAATGCGACCGCCTGGCATCCGCATGCCTCTCTTCTCAGTGAGAAATCAAAATCGATGTGACATCGAATCGACATCAACTAGATGTCAGTTATCGGAAATGCCTCGATTTTAAGACCATCTCAGGATCGATTCGACACGATAATCGGCAATTTACCGACAACGATATCAGTCTGACATCATTTCGATGTAACTGTTTCTCACTGGGTTCATAAACAGCTTCTTTGCCTCTCAGCAGCTCATATGCCCTGAAGGTTGCTGCTGCACTCTCCTCCCACAAAGTGT